TCTTAACAGGCGGCTGATAAATTGCCGCTGGCATGAATTTATTATCATCGATCACATTAATACTTAGACATATCTAGCTGGCCATTCCGTTAAATTGGTAACTAATTAATCAACAATTTGCGGTTGATAAACATACGGGAATCTCATATCTAATTATAATAATACACAAGATTTATCCCGGCACGAACGAATCTTTCGAGTCTCTATAATGACAGCTTAATTAGAATTGGATTCGGAACTGGACGGGATGTGTAAATTGAGGAGTCTCTAGAAGGCTGCGGCTTGTAAAACTTTTGACAGCTGGCGGCCTTGCGATGCCGTCAAAACAACTTTGATAAAAGAGGGCCAAAACAGACAAACAAAGAACGAGGCAAACAAATAAATGAGAGGGAGTACAAAAACTTATCAATCTTAAGTTTCGCAAATAATACAAATGGCATAATGAATGTGTAAGAAAAAAAAAAGGGGGGGGGGGGGGGGGGCTACCATGAAATACCACAGCAAGTTATTTTTATACCTACCCACCATAAAGTTTTCTACAAATACTTTGGTCGTATCTTAAAAGTATTGTGTCTGCATACATCCCATACTTGTTGAAGTATTTCTACAAGAAGGTCAAGAAGCATAGATAAGAAGCCTAGCTAGAAGCTTCTCAAAAAGCCTGGCAGAAAGTCCAGCACAAAACCCGCAAGTGCATAAAAAACTTTCTAGAAAAAAGGTTTGTCGTAAGCCTCACAAAAAGTCCAGCAAAAAGCCTAGAAAATATGATTTTAAAAATAAAAAACCTAGAAAAATTCCTGTCAAAAAGCCTATCAAGAAGCCTTGCGAAAAAAAGCTTATCAAAAAGCCAAACAAAAAGCTTAGGAAAACGCCTATCAAGGAGCTTCGCAAAAACCCTTTAAAAGCAAGGTAAAAAACCTCTCAAAAAGCCCAGCAAGACCCTAAGGAAGGGATGTTTTTACGGGGTACGGGATAAGGATAAAGTCACGTAGGTTAGTATTAATGACCCTGTAGTTCCGAAATTCATCAAAGACCCAATAGGTCAAGGCCATGGGCACTTTTTCCCGTCCAAAGGCCGAACAAATCGTTTTATTTCATTATTTGATGCGGTCATCTTTTGATTGAAGTCAATTGGAATTTGCAGACGAAGTTCATTGAGAACAGTGTTTACTTGGCTTTAACAGTCTTGGCCAAGGATGCTTCAGTGTCCTTGGAGCGAGTGCGGGTCCTGTTTTATGGTCTTCTGCTGCAGCTCCTTCGCATTTGTCTGACAAATTGAGTTTCCGGACGGACGCCAGCTCGGGAAAAGCGCAAATAAAATCAAGTGTGCATCCGGCAGCAAGAATTGCACAGGAAAATACATATTTCATTTAAATCAATTGAAAACAAAAGTTGACTTTATGACTTCTTAAATAAATCGACCATGAAAATATTCTTAATATTTTGACAGCTTTGATGACAATGGGATTCGGTATCAATAAGATATGTTAAAAATTAAATCAAATATAATAACATGAATTTGTTTCCTGTGTAGCAGGAATGGCATGGAGGAGGACGCTCTAATGACTCGGTTTCCTCCTCGTATAAAGCTATTGCTTGAAGATGCCCAATTGCACATGACACTCTTTTGACCACAGAGAATTTCATTTCAGCAGTGTGGGTTCCTTCTCTATTTTCCTATTTATAGCTCGCCTTTTCTGGGTAAAATTTCAATTGTGTTCTTTGGTCGAAAAACCAAGTGCAGGAGGCCAACAAAAATTGTCAATTAAAGCTATTACGGCCATTGGCAATTAGTTGGCAGCCCCATTATGCGGAAAGTCATTTGTCGTTGCTCGCATTTATATTTTCCAGAACTTTTCCCATGAAACAAAAGACCGATCTTTGTGCAGGAATTTCCATTGGAAAATGCATTTCTCGATGCCCCGGAGCGTTGAATGCGCAAATAAGTTATGCTAAATGGGTTATGTGCTTTTAATTGGGTTGTTATGGGTTAAGAAAAGGGGGTATTTCCATGAATATTCAGCTGTACAAATAAAATATAAATAAATGCAATCAATTGGCACTTTCAACTGGGTTAAACAAAAATTTTATTGTGACGTGGAAATTAAATATTAAATTCTATCATCAAATTGAACATGAAATAAAGCAAATTGTGCTTTAAGTAAAACACTTGTGAAACAAGCAACTAAGCTAGAGAAAAAAATATTTAAAAAAAATACAAGATTCCAGGAGTTTTCTACATGGTCTCTCCCAGGGGCTTAATGGTCAGCTCGTGCACCTGGACATGTGGGGGCGTGGCTATGGCGTATAGCACTCCCTGCGAGATGTCCTCGGAGTGGAGCATGCGGTCCCTAATGGCATCCCTGATGCTGTCCGGCAGGATCTCCGTGTCCACTACGCCCGGACTGACGCTCTGAAATGTAAGCAATAAATTATATACTTAGTATGGTTATATATTATATACAGAAGATTATAGATAGTCAAAAGTAATAACTTTAAAAGTCATTCATTAATAAATATGGAAAATTCAATTTAGTTTGACATAAGCCGTTAAAAATATATAAAGATAATTAAACTATATTTTATTCCCCATTTAAGTATATCTTTACAAAAAACAAATACGTTAAAGGTTGCTCAACAAAAATCATAAAATAAATGAAAATATAAAAAAAAGTAAATTACTTTTCAGAAATTAAAAATTTTAATTAGCTTGACATAAGCCCAAAAGGATAAAGAAAGATAATTAAAGTATAACTAAATCTTTTATTAAACTAAGCTTTATGTGGCTTTAAAGGGGCTTATAAATTGTCTGCATATCAACAAAATGAAAATGAAAGTGTAAGAAAACAAGGTAAAATGTTGATATTGAAAGCTTGAATTAAATTGACATAGACCCTTATAGATAAACACTCTATACTTATTTATAGCACTCTATTTTTATCTTTATGCCACTTTATAGGGGCCAATAAATTTGTTGCCTATAAGGAATAAAGAAATGAAACGCAAACCCACCGTAATCTTGATGCGGGTTCCCAGGCCCAGGAACTCCTGGCGGTATCCTTCAGCCAGGGCCGTGACCGCATGCTTGCTGGGCGGATAGACATTGACGTCCGGCACCACACCCTCCATGGCCGACATGGTTTTGTGCCCCAGGATGCTGTTGATGAGCACCACATGGCCGTCGAACTTACGCTCCCGCATAGAACGCACTGCTCGCTGGGTGCACAAAACGATGCCCATGATGTTCGTCTGCAGGACCTTCTGCATATCGGAAGCTTTCATGTCCACCAGGAGACCCGCGTGCAGGGTTCCAGCGTTATTGACCAGTACATCGACGGCACCCAGTTTCTGGATGACCCAATCGAAGGCCTCGTTCACGGAACTCTCACTGCCCACATCACAGTAGAGGGCAAATAGTTTGCCCCTCTTGTCCGCCGGCAGTTCCTTTTGCAGCTCCTTGACGCGATCAACACGACGGGCCAGACCCACCACTGTCATCCCGGCCAGAACCAGATCCTTGGCAATGGCCGATCCGATTCCCGAACTGGCGCCTGTGACGACGGCCACGCGATTCTGCCAGCGTTCCATGTTTTCCGTTTTGATGTTCACCGATATTTGCTCGGATCTCGAGCCGTAGCTGCACCTTATATATTGTTGGGATGGATTGCGTGTTAGCCGCTCTCCGAACAAGTTCTAGCCTACTACACTGAGAGAAAAGCCCTCCTAACTAATTTAAGTAGTAATCCCCTAATTAAACACACACTTAAATTTGTGGGATTTTTTATTATATATGTTTTATCTTATAATAAAATATTTTTTAAATTGATCAGTATTATTTCGAATTTCATGAAATCAGTTATTATTCCACAACTATTATAATAATTTATATTTAAATATTCTATGTAATATAAAAGTTCTTATATAATATCAATTTTTGTATCTGTACCTTTGATATATCTAATGATATTAGCATTTCTTTGCGTTAGCGTGTTGAGAAACTGCCTTTTCATTGTCGAGACAATCCGTCATGCCTCTCAATACGAAAAAGAGGCGGGGTAGATTTATTTGCATAGCTAAACGACAGTTTTTATTGTTTATGACCTCTGTGAACTCATAGTTTGGCTAAGAATTACTACTCAGATTGAGATTCGGGAGATATACTGGAGATTTCAAGAACCATATACTTATATGGCCGGCTTGGGATAATCATACAGTAGAATATTTGTTCAATTAAACTCATAAACTGCTTGTGATAAATTATTAAAATTTAATTTAACAAGGTATCATTTGTACTTACTCAAACGATGAGTAAACTAAATGGTGTGGGATAATTCCAGTGTGCTTAGTGACTACTAATTCAATTACTTGAACGAATGTGAGTAATGATAAGTTTACCTAGCCGTATATGTTAGGTAATCGATTCAAAATGTGCAAACGTAAGATAAGTAAAGTCATTCTCTAGGGAATCTTCACCGTTTTTTAGGTATATTTTTATTTTGTCTGAATTAAAATAATCCAGCTGTCAAACCAAATCAGAAAACGATTAGTATGCTGTAATAATAACAATTTTTGCTTATTAAGTAATTATAATTAGCATATAAAATGTATACGATTTGCTTTTCTAACGCGCTTGCCACTTTCAATTAGCAGCACGTTCTTTCATCATCTGATTTTCTTATAAGAACTAAGTATCTTACAAGTTCTCTGGTAAATAGATTGGGCAATATAGTATTTAAATTAACTAGCTTTTTAAATAATTTAAAAATATTATCCGATGATACACTGTTTTGGTATTTTGTGTCATAGAAAAGTCATCCCAAGATATATAATTAAAAACAGGAACATTTAAAGGTATCAGAGCACAGAGCAAATCGTAATAGCTAAATTTTTACTCGACATTTCATAGAAGGCCTACATGCACACTAAGATCCAATATGTGACCCGTGGCATTTTTATTTTTTTTAAGTTTAGTTCTTAAGTTTTTTTAAGACAAAGAACATTTAAAACGTATTTTTTTTCAACAAAATATTTTTCGTTTCGTAATGGAAATTGTAAACAAAGTAGGCAAACTACGAAACTTCAAGGCCTTGTTCGTCTAGCCATAGGGTTTTACATTCAGTACAACACCCGAGCTCGTCCAGTGAACAACTCCGTATTTTCGGTAAATTTTTGTTAAATTTCTTTTTACAAATATAAACTATTTCAATAGATTTCTTCATAAGTTTTCGGTTATCTCGCAGAGTTTTTTTTTGTCATGAAATTTCGAGCGTCAGATCAGATATTTACCGTCGTAGGCCAGCAGGTCTTTTCTATCTCTGTTAAAAGCTTTGGCTACGTGGCATTTCTTAGAGAGGATCACATCGAAAAACACAATTGCTTTTTAGTGCATTCGAAACTCGACACGTTTTGTTAACTCAAATTTAAGGTTGGCCACATTAAAATTTTGATTCACATTTATAAGGACTATATGCCTAAGTCCAGTCTTGAATCTTTACAATTTTTTCTTATAAGTGTAAGGGAAAATTTGAAACTTTAGATTTGAGTCTAGACTTAGACATGTAGTCTTTATGATTGTGAAACAACATTTAAATGAGGCCATTTTTAGATTTGAGATAACGAAACTTGCCGACATTTCGGTATGGCGACAAACAATTGTATTTTTCAGTGGAAACCTTTCAAGGGAATTCCACGTAGCCAATGCTTATAGCAAGGATAGAGAGGACCTGCTGGCCTATGTCGATAATGATCTGATCGGTCGTTGAAAATTTTGCGATGAGGAGGTCCGAGAGGCGCTTAAAAACTTATCGATAATGAGGACTTCGAAGAGGAAGGGGTTCAGGATGTTGAGCTCCAGTTCTGCGGCTTGGCGGGAACCTGTAAACCAGTCACCAGTTCCATTTCAACTACTAGAAGCTCCTTCAGGACAACAGAGTCTTCGTTCATCTGGCGATTCTTGTGGAGTTAATTTTGCAAAGAAGGTGGAGAGGGCCGTCCTCCCAATGCCAGGGAGGATCTTCGCTATAGTCATACGTCCAACGAATCTTCTCTACAAGTGAATAACGTCCATCAAAGAGAGAGAAGAAACCTTATCGAGCCGGCACTGCAGAAATGGGAGCTTTTTCAGATCAAATCATTCCCAATAAATAACAAATTTTGTTAACAAATTTTTAACACATATTCATGTTCGATTTTTCCGTATTTCCAATGGTTTTCAGAATGGGAACCCAAAACTGGACTTATATATTTCATAACTTTCGCTATTGTAACCCGATTTTGACGTGGGATACCTCTTTGAATTTGTGGTTAAATTTTGTCACAATCTAGATTCAAATTTTTATTTTAAACGGGGTCAAAATTTTTTGTTCGATTTTTTTTTCGAAATTCTAATGAAAACCCATTTTTGTGTAATTTTTTCCGTAATTTCAATGGCTTTTAGAATGGAAGTTATTGGATTCCGATTTTGATGCGATACCTTTGTATTCAAATTATTTAATATTCAACAGTTTTTGAAATGCGTACAATGTTGATATTTCCTTATCATTTTTCAGTGCTTACCCATAGCCCGCCCAATTTAAAAGAAAGGTTTATTTCAGGAAGGACTCAAAATATATATTTAACTGCACCAACGGACTAACGCCAACTTCCTTTGTTGGCGTGGGCAAGGAGTGGAGTGGAAGTGGAGTGGAAGTGTAGTTATCGATGTGTAGTGGTCCACATTTTGGATGTGGTTGCGTAACAAGTTGGGTATCTAGTGCTGCTGCTGCTGCTGCCGTGATCAGGGATGGACAATGGGGTGGAGTGTGTGGTTCGTGTTGGCTTGAGTCCTACCAGAAGCCGCCCTTGGATGCACTGCCTCCGCCGTAGTTCATGCTCATGTCCATGCCGTTGTAGGCGCAGAAGGCCTCGCCATTGTCGATGCAGGGCTCGAATTGTCCAGATCCTTGGCCAAAGAAGTTGGTGGGCAGGTTGCAGGTGAGCGGGGAGCTCACGTTCCCATAGTCACCCATGCCCATCTGTGGGGCACTTGGCATGGCCATGCCCCGTTGGACAGCGCCTCCGACTCCCGACATTCCTGCTCCTCCGGCGGCAAATGGATTGTGCGACTGGACCGGCATCTGAGCTGCACCTGATCCTTGGCCAGGCCATCCGGCAAGTCCTCCCGGGCCAGATCCTGCTGCTCCAGATCCAGATCCTGCTAGTGCTGCTGCCGCCGATGCTGCTCCACCGGCAGACTGCTGCATCAGATCACCCATCTGCGGATAGACAGGCGCATTCACGGGCTGGCCGTTCCAGTAGGAAAATGAGTTCGACATCTTTGGTGAATCTCAAAAAAAAAACACAAACTATTAACGATTTTGAAAACTGTGTGGGATGAATAACTTCAAAATCGGAAAATTTTTTTTTGTTGATTTTATTTTTTTATGCCCAAATAGAAGCCGTGAAAATTTTGCTCCGCCGAACGATGTTAACTGTTTGAACTCGAAAGTTAGACTGAGAATTTGGAGCTCTGACTGGGGTAACTCGGTTTTTCTGCTTGACGTTTGATTCCATGGATATCTAGATTGAACATTTTTGAAATCAACAATGATTTCATAGATTAAAGCTTAGTTGGCCAGGACATTTTTTAAAACTAAGCCTTTTGAATTTCATGAAACTATAAATAAGATATTTATGAAAATTTGAATTTTTTTAAAATAATTTTAGTTGAACTTGCGATGGAATGCGTAAAAACCGTCACACATAAATATGAAATTATTTTTTATATATACATCTTTTTTATGATCCTAAAAACTCAAAGATGTGCCTAAGATTTTTGTAGAAAACCGAAGCTAAAAATAAAATATATTTTTATCTTATATTATATATATTTTTATGATAATATTCCATATATAATGTATACGTATAAGTATAGATTTAATATGATTTTATTAATCTAAGCTTATGATTTGAATTTCTCATTAAACTTTCTAAAGGCTTTAAATTAAATTTGAATGGGGGTACGCCTTAAAATATGATTAATAAAAGCTCCGCCTATCCTAAATCTTTATTGTTCTTGAAATTGTGGATTTCTTGACCAGATTTGGTAGTTAATTTTTTCTTTGCCCCAAGGAAGTGTCCGCATAATGGGCATAAAGTTTTTGCCGCTCCGCTTTTAATTCAGGTCATTCCATGTTATTTAGCATACAATTTTATATTGTGATAAATGACATTTCTTTTCACATTCATTTCATCTTTTTGCTCTCATGTCTCATTTCTTATTTCAATTTTTTTTTTGGCTTAGCCTTGTCGGAAAATAAGGGCGTTGGGCAACTAAAGGGGCGCGGTGTGGCCGGCACTGTGTTAATTTTTGAAAAAGGACGCCAACTGTCGTGTTGCAGCGCAGATGATAATGACGAAGACGTGGCAACAAACGTTTGTCTACACAATGGGTATCAAATGGGTATTAAGGTCTTTTAATAAGGTTGTTTAAAGTATAGGTGCTTAAGTCTAACCGTAACACTAAGAGTAATATGTTATTTTAATAATAATATATAAATTATAATGTAGTATAGTGATTGGTTATTATACCATTACACAGATTACAATCATATCTTTACTTATATGTATAGTTTATATATTAGAGAACGAAATCTTCCAGTTATTTTATAAGCATATAACCAATATATTTATATTTTCTACTGAATTTTAAAAATATCACACAAAATTGAGGTAATTGCATTTCTTTAGCATGATAAATCGTTTTATTTTGTTCAAACAACTTCAAGCTTAAATTTCTCCCACGTTTTGGATCATACATGTCTGGCATTTAAATAGGGTGTATTAAAGGTTCCCATCCTATTTTCAATTCATATTCCACTTGATTCTTGTGCCAAGCATAAAATGCAAAACACTTGAACTGAGTGGAAACGAAGGCGAAAGCAAAATAAGCAACAACAAAATGTCTCATAAACCAACGGTTACATTGGGAGAAAATTGGAAGATGATTATATTACCATATTTTAAAAACCAGCTTTGGAAATTTCTTGAGGCATTCAAAGAATAGAAATACCTTAAAAATTGCCTAAATGTTTTTTTCAAACATTAAATGGGAGATTGAAATATTAATGATAGATAAATAACTTTACTTAACTTTACTTTTGTTAATTTTAATATATTTATTATGATCTTTAAAGAAAATAGATAAGATTGATTTGCTCTTTCTGTTTTATGATATTGTTGAATGAACTTATTAAATTAATATTAGGGCTTTTTATAACTTAATTAAATAGGCGAATAATTAATAATAATTAAATTTAATATTAATTAATCTTAAACGTTTAAAAAGTAAATGTTATATGTTAACGTTGCGTATACGCAATATATGTGGTGCACATATAACGTATACGCAACGTTCGCCTTATAAATGACCTCCTGGGTTGACAACCAATTTTTTACTGTGCTCAAGAATAAGAAGAATAAGCAGCAGGCCGGGAAATAAAAAGAACGCAACTTGGCAGGGTGTTGATAATGATAGCAAAGACAAAAGCCCACGCCTAATGGGACACGGAATGACTGAGGGGCTGTGGGGTTTGGTTGGTCTTGGCTGATGATGAGGCGGTGGTTGGGTGGTTCTGGGTGCCTCTGGGTGGCTCTGAGCCCCGGTGACCATCCGACTGTCATGCCCACGTCCTTGACGCGCTGCAGTGGCGACATCGTAGTTAAATTGCCTGTCCTCGGCCGGCGTCAACATTGTGTCATTGCTAGTATTAAATCAGAGCCAAACAAATGATGATACATAAGTGCGACACAAGTACGCAGAAAAACACACAGAAAAGATTAACCGAAATGCTGGGTGGGAAAATTAAAATTACAGCATGCAGGGAGAAAAACTCTGGGAAGCGTATCTTTCATTAAATGTAATATATCATTTACCTTCCAAGTAAGAAAACCTATAAGAAAGGGCATGACCTTTATTTACTTAAATATATATTTGACTAAAAGGCAAAAGAAAACGGAGAACAGGTGCAAGACTCTAAGATCTCAATCACTTAAGTTTATAATTTAAATATTTTTACACAAAAAACGTTTTAAAGAGTTAATAAAACAGCCTCCAATATAATTTTTCCATATCCCATTTATTTCATTTTTCAACAACATTTTTCTTAGTGCAAGATATGGTGGAATTCTGATCCCGCCCCTTTGTTTCAACCTCTGTGAGTGATCCACTAAGTTAATATTTCACCGCATGACCTTCGGCAATTCCGAGTTATGGACTGCCAACTATGGGTGGTGGGATGGCAGGCTGATGGGATTTGGTTTTTCGGTGGAAAAACAGAAAGAGCAGCTGGAAAAGCGGGAAAAGCAGATCGGGGCAGATGGAAGCCCCAGAAGCCAGGGCATAGTTCATCAAGTCGGCAAACAGACGCATACCACAGTCGGACTTCAAGGAGGCACAGGATAGCGGTAGGAGGATAGTACTGCGACTTGGGTCAAATATGTTAGCAGTTGCATTCTGTTTTGGCTCCGAACAGCAAACATTCAAGTAGCTGGCAAAGACAAAGGGCCAGCACAGTGGGCAAAATGAGTTCCTCACTTTATTACAACTCACTATCTTTATTTTTTTGGTAAATGGTACTATGTTTGATTTTATTACTTGTATAAGAAAATGTATAGTTTGTAAAAAGGAAACCATTCTAAAAAGTTTTATTTAGTAAGTATTTTAAGGGTAGTTTATAAAAATCACAGGGGTGTTAAAATTTCTATAAAAGGTGAACAAGAAATATCAAGTTTTGGAAAGAATTTTTAGATAAATATATTGTTGCATACTTTTTGACAGCACTGAAAGAGATTTCCCAATCCTAACTCTGTTACACCCATGGATACCATTCTATATATCAATCACTATAGTTCTAAAATATATAGACATCCATTCTTTCGACTCACCACTGTAACGCAGTGTAGTTTTATCGCATTACTGCAGCTGCCTCTGGTGGACCACTCTCTCTCCATCTCTTTCGGTCGCCCTATCCCTGTCTCTCTCTGCGAATACCACTACCAATCTAGCCATCTCTTTCTCCAACTGTGTCTGTCCGCTGGTTTCCTCCCATGCCATTAGCCAAAATGGGTAAATAAGCTTAGTTCGCTCTACGACCGGGGACTTTGGTGGGTGGGAAAGAGGTGGCAAATGGGGGCGGGACGGGGATAGTTGCAGGGCAAGTGGCGAAAGTGGTGAGAGCACTTGAAAAAGTGGGAAAATAATTACCGATAACACAAATGCCCAGGCACCGATTCCGAACCGTCGAACTTTTTCCGTGTGTCCGCCTTCTTCCTCGTTTTTTACCCCCCAGCCATTGCATTTTCCCGCCATTCCGCGTGGCTTTTCCTGCTTTTCCTGCTTTTGTTTTCCTCGGGTTTTTTTTTTGTGTTTCGCTTGTAGAACTCTGGCTTACATAAATTCAATTGTGCGCCTCTGCGAGTGAGTTTGTGTTTGGCTGTCAGTGCAGTTAGGCTAAACCGATTTGTCTCATCCTCCCCCGCACTTTCCCATTTTCCACTCACGATCCTGCGACTTTTCCTGCAGGCTATGCTCTTCTTTTCCCCATTCGATTGACTATACTCCTTAGGAATGCAATATATATAAATATAGATATCTTACGAAATTTAAATGGTTTTTAAATTGGAATAGAATATAACTGAACATAAAATATGTTCATAAAATATTAAGGAATATAAAAATATATCAAGACTATAAAGTTGTTTCTAAACGTGGGAATATATAAATATATCAAGACTAAAAAGTTGTTTCAATTCTTTTACAATAACTATGGAAGATTACTTAGAAAAATCCCATATATTACGTGCATACCATTGTTTATAAAATATTTAAGTACATTTCTTTGCAAAAGACTCCTTCCTTAGAATTAACTTGGGAATATATCAAAATATCAAGGTCATAAAATTGTTTAAAAATTTGTTATAAATAGTATAGCACATACCATAATTTATTATCTCAGAGTGTTTAATCCAGCGGCTTTAGCCCTTTGAGGCAATGATTTTTAGCAGTTTTTTCCCTCTTATTTGTTGTTTGCATTGCCCAGTTGACTTTGGTGCTCTCTGGTTCAATTGATGGCCCTCGAATGGACTTGACTCGAGCCAATGGAGTGGGGTCTCGAAGCTAAAGCCCCGAAAAATATCAAGTGTCGTTTGTCAGAGAGTCAGAGACAACATTCGATAATGTTAATTTGCAGTGGTAAGATCCGGATCCGCAGACTCCGATTATTCGAAGGGTAATAAAGCCACAGTAGATATCAAGTTTTGGTGGGCTCTAATGACTGCCGTCTAATCACTTCGCTTCAGGGAACTTTCTTGGGGCATTTTTTTGTTTGAACCTGGGGACGGGAACCCTTACCGCATCACATAGCCATGCCAATTTATTTAATATGCCGTACGTGAGCTTCCGCTTTCAGTTCTGTTCGGTTCAGTCCTGGCCCGTTTATGGCCACTGACTCTGATTCTCGTC